GCTTGATCCCAGGACTCTGATCATGACCTGAGCCAAAGGCAGACACTTAACCAACTGAGCCACCCAGGCAACCCCTCTTTTGGGCTTTTCAATAACTCTTTATTTTTAAACTTGTGGTAGAATAACCAAAACAGTATACAGTGGGCTGCAATCATAATACTTAAAAGATCAGATGAATAAGCCATGGGCAAGAGTCACATTTTAGAGGTCTTTATCTTTGTCAAATAAAAAGAAACTATGGGCCAATCCTTTCACATCACTCAAGGGAACTATTTCTCTCTGAAAAATTAATAATGAAGATTTATACTATGAATGTATATTCGCTAACTGGTAAAAATGGTATTAATCACCACCAGCAATAGGTTATCGCTTTTATTTTATTTTTTTATTTTATATGGCAATTGTGGAAAATTGTGCTTAAATAATATACTCTCTCTAGGACTCTTTTGAAACTAATCACAGGTGTTGGTATTGAGCTGAGTGTAGAGTAGATAGAGAAGTTTAGAGTTCAATTTCTTAGTACTACTCTGAAAAACTGCCTTCTGAGTCATAATAAACAATGATCTTTTATTGACTCAAGTTGAGACAGGGTGGTTCCGTATAAGCATGAAATGGTACTTAGAGAAATTTTAAAAATGGATCCAAGAATTCTGAGAAAAGAATTCTTTGTCCAGGAGTGGTGACTCTGGTGTAACTTTTAAAATAAATATAAGTTCTTATCTATAAACTACATATTAATCATCCTTAGACATATTTTACTTTTGATTTAGCAGATGCCTGTCCTGCTTCAGAAAAGAAAGCCAAATAAGGTGCTATTTGAAATTACTTAAAAAATACCTTGTTATTTGCATCTAGTTATGAAATGTAAGCAAATAAAAGATAGTTTGGAATGTTTCAAAATGTTAATACTTTCAAATCATTTGAAGGCAAAGGTAGTCATTTATAGTTGAAAAACCATTAACTCAATGAGCAAATATTTAAAGTAAAACCATTGTTTACCAACCATTAGCTTTTTGCTTTAGTTGTCTTAATCAAACAGCCATTGGGAATAACCCCTGTAACTTTTAGTGAGGAGAAGAGGGTATTATAGCTCCTTTTTGGGGGACAAACAAAACATTATTCTACCTTAAGAATTGACATTTTTAAAAGTTTTAATGCATACAGATTTTACACATAATCAAGAAAAATAATATTATTGCTTAGATGACATCTTTAATATTTATAATTTATAGTAGACTGAAAGCTTCCTAATTAATTTTTGATAAGCATTTTTAGTTATTACTGACTTCCTACATGGAAAGAAGGCACAGTATTCTAATCTGGTGCTTTTTCCTTTTTAAAAAATACATTAATATTTCTTAGCAGTGGTTTCTGCTATGAGAAACAGAAAACTAATAGTAACTTAAGTAAATGAGTTCATTTTTCCAGGCAAATAGCTTGAAAGTAGGCAGCAACTGGCTTAAGTTCATTTTAGTTGGTAATTTCTTTGGATAGTGATGTATTTAAGGTAAAAGAAAGAAGAAAATGTACCAGTCACATTTCCCTCCTTTTATTAAGAGTATACAAGCCTCTTTAGTCTTCCTTTTGTGTCCCATAAGCCAGAACTATGTCACATGGCATTCTCAGCTGTAAAGGACACTTGGAAATTGAATACTTGTATTTCCAAACCTTTACAGTTATAGTCAAACAAGGATGTTGGGAGAGAGTATTGGCCACAATCCATGCCTAACTAATAATTTGATCATGGAATGACATATGTCAATGAAATTGAAGTATCAATATCTTAAAGAAGTAAATTTCCCCAGTAGACTCCAATCAAATTTCTGGCAGGTTTTTCTGGTGAAAATCAACAAGCTATTTCTGTTTTCATGGAAAATCAAGGGCCATGAATAAACAAAGCAATCTTGGATAAGAACAAAGGTGGAGGATTTATAAACCAGATGCAAATTTTATTATTTAACAATAGCAGTTAAGACTGAGGTATTAACAGAAAGATAGACAAATACAGGGATGAAGCAGAATAGCTTTCAGAAAGTAACCACACTTATATTATCTGCTGATTCATGACAAAGGCGACATGATAATGCAGAGAGAGAAGGATGGTCATTCAACACATTGTTCTGGGTTAGTTAAAAATCTGAAATAAAAATAAACTGTGATTTCTACTTTATACCTCATACAGAATCAGCACAAGATAGAGTGTAAATTTAATATGAAATCTAAAACAATAAAACTTTGGAAACTTTTAGGATCTCTACCTCTGTCTCTTGCCTTTCTTTAAGAATGACCTAAAAATTCAAGTCCCTAGCCATTTTGTTAGCAGGGGCTACATTTAGTTTCTTGGAAGTTGCATAATTAATTGCTTGTGTTATGAGAGTTGGGTAGATTTGAGAAAAATGAGTGTAAGTGGGTCTCTAAAGTTATTGTATTGATTGCATGCCTGCCACCTCCGTGCTTTTATTCTCATTGCATATCCAGGAACCTATAAAGGTATTTTATAGGAACCAAAAAGGAACCTATTTGTGGTATTTGTGTGGCCTCACCTGGTGGCAGATGTCTGGAACTGCTCAGGTTTGTTTAGACCATCTAAGGTTTGATGATTGACTGCTTAATTCAAAAATTATGTTGAAAGAAATCTTTCTTATTTATTTTTGTCTGTTGCTTTTCATGGCCAGGATAAAAATGTATAGGTGTTTCAGGTTCATGTTTTCCTAGAGATTATCTTAAGCAAATGTCATTCATTTGTCCCTGCAATAAATACTTTTTGTTTAAATATACAAATAACTAAAGCTCTTTCTTTGAAGAAAGATTCTGAGACAGACAAGTCACTATAGTACAGGATGAAAACTGGTGAGTGCTGTTTTCAGGGTGATGGAGATGCAGTGCTGTGGGAGTTTAGGGATGGGGGAATTCCTTCCAGCTGAGGCATCAGGGGTATTTTTATGGAGAAACTCACAGAGATAAGTAGTTAAGGGATCTAGGGATAGGTTGCTAAGATTTGGAACCACAGAGATGTAGTATGAGGCATTTCTGATGATGGGAAGACCATGAACAGAGTGATAGAGGCATGAAATAGACATACTCCAATCACTAGGTATAATTTAAGTAATTTGCATCGTTCACAATTGCTAAAACATGACAAACTGTTTAGAAATTATTCTTTTACATCCTGCCTATTAAATATAATCTTCAATGCAAAAAGGCAGTACTTAAATATCACAATAAAAATTGCACATATTCTTCTATAGCACATGTACTAAAACTAGTGTGACTACATGCTCTAGTTTCACAGCAAAAGTAGGTTGCATAGGATGAATAAGTATTTCATATTGCCTGATATTCTCTCTTGCAGTAAATTAATTTTATTTTATATGAAGTAGGTCATTTTGTACAGATAAAACTTTCTGTTGTGCACAATTCTCCCTTGACATCCATGTCATATTAATTGCTTATTGTAATATTTTTTTCTCTAGTTCTCAGCAATTTGTCTACCATCTCAATGTGTAGAACCAAGTTTTACCTGTGTTACATATTACAGATTGGTACCAGCAATGATTACCTACCTGTAATTGTCGATTTTTAATACTCAAAGACATCAAAAGGAATTTTTCTTTCTGTATTTCATTCAGAGCATATTAAAACAACATATTTATTTATAGAATGATATCAATTTCACTTTATGTGAAAATTTATGAAGTAGGTCAAAGAGGAAAGAAAAACAACTTGATAAGTTTGAAGATAATAATTAGTTTAGCAAAGGATAAATTGTATAGAATTGACTGAACCTCTTCTATTTCACTGTCAACTTTTTTTTTTAGTTTTTCCCATCATTGTTAGATAAATATAATCAGGACAGAAAGATTCTGCTATTGACATCTGATACCCAAGCCAGATGGATGCAGCTTATTTGAACTGTGTGGGAAAATGGAGTTTGTGAGAGTTTATCTTGAAAGGAGAGTCTTGATAGAATAAGATGCCATTTGGAGTTTAAGATTTGCACACTCTCTTTTTATTCCTTCTCTTTTGGAGAAGCCATAACAGGTCAGAAACACAGGTGTAATAAGGAAATCAGCTGGACGAGGACAGTAAGTAGGTAGAATTTGTATATATATAGGAATAAGTCACATCAGAGCTCCTGAAATTGTTACATTCTTGTATAGCGCTTTTTTTTTTGCCTTGAGTTCAATAATTGTTTTTTCTTTGCATAATTTTCAATGTAAATATTACTTAACTGCCTCTAAACTTTTCTCCAGGACTATAATTTCTTCTAAACGTGCTTTAACTTTCAGCTTATGTCCTTGGAGCCTCCCTTTCTCATCATCCTGGAATTTGGGTTTTTTACCCTACCTTGTGGCATCTTTAGTTTTCTGGATCTTCTCTTATTTCATTTCTTCATTTCACCGAAACATATTCCTTGAGCGATCCTGAGAAAAGGCACAAGGGCAATAAATCTTTTGAAAGTATGAGAACTATATGTTTAAAGATGTATATATCCTACTCTATGTATTTTGAGAGCACGGTTCAGCATAGAATTCTAAATTGAAAGTTATTTTCTTTCAGTGATTGAGAGGGTCCTCCATTGTCTTGCTTCTAGTGTGGCTGCCAAAGAATTCAATGCCATTTCTTTCTTGAACTTTCAGAACAACGTGCTTTGCAGTGGATCATTTTTCCATCTCTTTTCCTGAACATTTGGTGAATTTTATAATCAGAAATCTCATGTCCTTCAGATATCCTTCTAGAATCTTCTTGGAACTATTTTCTTGATAATATACTATTCTTATTTTTTCTGTTCCCTCTTTCTAAAACTGCTCTTAATCAGATGTTGCATGTTCTGAACTGACCCACTTGCCATTCTGTTTGCCATCTTTCTTTTCCCCCCAGTTTCTCAAAGATTTCCCAAACTATATCTCCTAAATACCATTTTTCTTTAATCATGACTTTTAGATTTAGTCAGAGATACTGTATTTCTAAAAAAGTCTTTTTGTTTTAATTTGTTTTAGGTATTTTCTTTTGACCATTCCTACAACAAAAATAGAACAAATCATTAAATTGTGATATATCCATACAGGTGAGTACTATGTAATAATAGAATGAGTAAACAGTAGCCAACATAGCTATCATGTGAAGGCTTGGAGATTTAATAACCTGGACCTATCCCATAAATTTGTTGTATAAAAGACATATTCACAGAAGAAAGCATACAGTATAATTTCATGTGTATAAATTTCAAGAAGGAACAAAAGTTGAACAGTAGATTAGTTTGATAATTATTCATAAGTGGTATAATTAAAAACTGGATAGGAATCATAGGTACAAGGGTGGTGGTGGCTACTTCTGAGGGAATAAGGCAGGAATAGGTACACGAGGAGCTTTCAATTACTGTTCACCAGGAGATTATTACTTAAGTATCATCATATTCTTTTTGAGATGAACAGAAATAGTCTAAATATTCTTTTGTTTATATGATTTTTTTCCAAATTAAAGAAAACAAAGCAGCTGAGCGGCCAGGTTGTTGAATGTTTCATGTGTGAGATATAGATATAAATGAGTGAGGGCAGGCTATGATAGAGGAACATAAGGAAGGAAGATGAGAAGGAAACTTCCAGAAGAAATGAAATACGAAGTAGGAGAGGCTTTATATGCAATGGTCTGCACAATTAAATAGAAAGCAAGAACATTGACTCCATCACCTGATATAAGGTGAAAGGGAATAAATACCCATGTGAAAATGCTACAGGAAAAGCTGTGTCAGTGGGGTAAGTTATGAAAGCTTCATCGGTCATATGACTGGGCAAAACAGGAGGGTAATATGTTGAGAGATAATAGATAGGAGGTACTAGAATGAGGTAAACAGGGCTAGTCCTTAAAATCTGCACCAGGATGGTATGCAGTTGGCTCTAAAAGAGTTTAGTTCATGACTGACAATGTAGCTTGTGTTTACGTTGTGGGGAAGGTAAACAGTTCTTTCTCTTGTGGTCAGCTTGATGGGAGCAACTGGTAGCAAAGCAACCTCTAATTAGGTGGCTCTTTCTATGGGGAAGGATGAGTTTTATAGTTCAATTTCAAAGCTGATGAGTTTGGCCCTTTGACTTAGGTATTTATTATTTATTCCTTGTAGTCCCAATGGCCTGGTGATGCTAGTGGGTTTCTATTTCTGACACTGGGTATCTCTCAGAATTTGTAACCAATGTACATACAGTGACCTGTAATGATTTCTGTTGTCACAGTTCTGATATAGGCTACCTGGATATTTCTAAGAGCCAGTTGATTTGGTCACTTTTCTGCCCTCTCATAACTTTTTACTTGAGAACAGAGGGAGGGATCATCAATAAAAGTATTTCCCTTACCTCTCTACTTGGCTAAATCCTGTTCACCCTTCAGATTGTAGTTTTTACATGACTACATTGGGGAAACTCACCTTAGTCTCTCATATCTGATTCAGATCTTCCCCTTATCTTCCCCTTCAGTGCCCTATCTTTTTTCCTTCACAAATCTTCCTATACTGTCATTACTGGCTCCGCTGAAATTTCAATGTTAAGTCAATTTCTTCCAAATAACTTAAAATATCTTTTGCCAGTAGCCATGGCCTGCAGCAGTCTCAGGAAACACTATTATCAAACATTTTATTAATGCTCATCTCTGCACAATGCTCTATTAGGACAACTTTATCACATACCACTTGAAAAGTTTTTTTGTCACGATTGGCAGCTAAAATGGACAAGGGTCAACCAGTCAACAGTGGCTTTTGAAAGAATAACTTCATCTTGAACTGCTGAGAAGAGGTGACAGGAGTGTTTTTCCATACTGTTAATACGTTAAGAGAAGGTAAGGATGATTTTCTTCCCAGCTAAGGCAATACAACGGAAATACTGAACCTGTCGGGCTAAGCTAAGCAGGAGTAGGCTGGGTCAGTATTTGGTGATGTCTCTGAGGAACACCTTCTGTAGAATAGCTATTTTAAGTAATAATTCAGCAATAGGACTATCTTTGAGTCAGTTCCAAACCAGCCTTCTGACCAGAGGTTCAGACAATTCTTCACCAGTGGAAATGCTATCTTAATGATGGTCTCTTTTACTTGTGATTATTATTCATCATGGGAGACTTGACTTTCCCAAGCAAGGTGAGTCAGCCACTGCAGTCCTAGAAGCAGGAGGAACTCAAACTGAAACCTGTCAAGGGAACACAGTTTATAATTTAGTCAGTCAGGGCACAATTTATACTTCATTTTTTTCCTCTACACTCCCAATGCCTGAGGTCTTCTGAAGAAAAGAGGACAGGCAGAAGATGCTACTGGCTTTATGCCAGAATGGAAGAGGTATTATATAAAAATCATAAACAAATGCTAACAGGGGAAAAAATCCACTAAACTGCATATTTGATATCTCAAGGGAAAAATGTAAAGTAGAAGTAAGCTTTGTTCTGAAGAGTGTAAATGGAACAGTTTTTAAAAGAGCCAAATATTTAGTAATATACTGTTAATGATCTTATAGAAAATGACCTACTGTGTTAAGTAGTGATTTATATTTGTGTGTGTGTGGGCAAATATTATATATAACTATTTAAAACTTCCATCCTCCTCACTCAGGAAGGTTTTTGTATTTGTTTCCTTGACTCCTGGAGTTTTGTTGTTGGCCTAGGTGATGGATGAAGATACAACATGATTAGATCTGGAGCAGTATTGATAAGCACCTTTTAAGGAGTGTGAAGACATGTTGGCACAGATTCTAAGCCAAAAAAGACTCCACTGGTGGATATTAAGAAAAGAGAGTCTCTGCATGGTGAGTATAGTGGGCGGGAGTGGAGTGACAGTATATGCATGGACATGGAAGAGTAAGAGTATGTGAATGGGCAGAAAGTTATGGAGAAAGCAACAGAAGATTTGAGATTTGGGAGTAATGAGTAAATACTTTGAGAGATGGGTGATTAATATCTTCACTGTAGACTGAAGTTAATGGTGACTTTTTAATACATTTCGGATGTCAAACTGGGAGGTAAGCTTATTTGTTTGTTGTTCTTAAAACGACATGAATATTTTTATTTTATATATCACCCACTCCATATTACCAATTCTCATAGTCAATCACTAGGAATTTAAGACCACAGAATTAAATAAAACTGTATTAAACCTCAGGTGCTATGTTAGAGAACTTCATATAATTGAGAACAAATTTCAAAGAATCTGAAAACACAGATAATCAGGCTTAAATTTTTATAGCTTGAATTTTTATAATTCTGATTATTTTTCCAGATATCAAAAATATAAAAGATTAAAAAGTGATTATTGAAAAGGTCATTAATAGACCAGTGAAGATTTTCTGATTTTTCTTTGCTATTTTAAAAAAGTTCTAATAGTCCCTAAATAAGGAAAAGGTGTTTTTTATTGGGCTTAAATAATAGTTTAGAAGAAAAGAATTATTTTCCAATTATTAACTCATATATCAATCTGATCATCTTTAAAATTTAAATTATTTTGAATGAAAACTTTCCATGTGGTATTGCAACAGGTTTTCTAATGCTTAAAAATTTAATATTAATAAGAAGTTTTTGAGAAGTAAATGGAACGGAATATTGTTCTGGAAGAAACTTGTAAAATTAATATTATAATAAAATTGGAGTAACCACTAAATTAGTGAAAAAATTCTAAATACATGGTCATTCAGAACAAAACTTTGTTTCTTTTTGAAAGACACTTAGTTCTGTGGATTTAAGCATAGAATTTGGGGCTTGCATTGTTATTAAATTTTACTAAAATTTATTTAAGCAAACAAATAAACAAAAATATTAAAATATGGAACTTTTTTTGTAAGACAGTGGAAAACATTGATAAGAAATATTTTATGGTAAGTTAAAGTGAGAGCGGGGCATTTTTTTAAGGGAAAATGTAATATTGTGGAAAGCAATTTAATATTTTGGGGTCTCTATTTACATTTCTGAGCTTTAAAATTCTGTGGATACATAAAGTAGCCCTAAGTGCTAATCGATCATCATAAAAGATTGGTAAGCAAAGGAAAACAAATTTTGACCTTTGCTAACATTTATGTAGGTTTGATCATTTTGCCAAATCCCACAATTTGTTCTAATTTCAAGCATCCAATAACCGAAGTTTGAGCAAGCCATCACTCGATGGTGTGTGTGTGTAGAGATGTGTGTGTAGAGTGTTAGATATAGCAGAGAGAGCAGTTTTCCCATAAGCCAGCTTTAATAGGTTAAGGTAAACTAATTCATTAAAGTGAACTCTGATATTCACAATTAGTTCTAAAAGCAAATTTCCTTTTAGGGAAAGAATACAAGACACACAATTTGTTCTTTGACATTTGTACTCACCTTCTCTTATTCTTATGTATATGAACAGTAATGAAAGCCATATAAAATTCTGATTAAATTCTTGATTCTTTCCTAAGCCACAGTAAAGTGTAGACTGTTGAACAGTTTTTTGTTTTTTTTTTAAGATTTTGTTTATTTGAGAGAGAGAGAGAGAGCTTGAGAGAGAAAGAGTATTATTTCTTTTTGAAAGTCCTTAAGGTATTGTTAGCCTAAGAAATAGCCACAGATAAAGCCAGGTATATGGAGAGTCTGGAAGCTAGAGGTTGGTTGTATGATCCTCTTTGCAATGGGACAACATGGAAAAGCTAGAGATATTGTTAAAATCGGGGGGGGGGGGGGTAGAGGAAGAAGCAGACTTCCTGCTGAGCAGGGAGCCGGATGCAGGACTCCATCCCAGGACTCTGGGATCATGACCTGAGCTGAAAGCAGACACTTAATGCCACCCAGGCACCCTAAAATCAATTCCAAAAGAAGTGTGATGGACTCCATAAAGTCAGATTTCTAAGAATAATAATATTTCCAAATATCTAACTTCAGTTCCAATATTCTCTTCTATCTCAATCTTAAATCAAATTCTAACTTTAAACCAAACCCTAATCTTATGGTTTTATGAAATAAACAAAGTAGCAGGGAGATTCCTTGATCATCAGTTCAAACTGGGTTCTTTTGGAGCATGACTTGGGAACTTTGGGTGAAGTGGGAGCTCCTAGGATAGGGTCTGGTCTTATTCTGTAGGTTATGCAGAGAACTCAACATCCCCTTTCCTTCCTAGAATATTTTTCCACCCTGTCAAAATTCTGCCTCACTCCCCCACTGCCATTGCTTTCAATGGGAAGGTTTGGCCTCATATATCTTTGAATGTAGACTGCATGGTTTTTGATCCCCAAATGAGAGGAAATAGCTCTTGTTACTGTGACTACTTCCTGCCTCTTTTTGTAAGAAATAATAGTTAAAGAAAGAGTGCTTTGTTCTTCCCACCGCCTTTCACACCATTTCCTTCTTTCTCAATGCATTCGATATTTGAGGAATCCATTCTCCCCTTAATTCTCACGTGCTGCCAGAGGCAATAGAAGATTATTGCAAGAGTTGATCACTGGCCTCTCTTTTGTAATATAGTTCTCAGATTAGGTTTTCTTGCCAGAAAAAATGAACTAAACTCACTTCCTACTGAGAAAAAGACTTTCACTTATTTCTTAGAGCTGACATGAATACAAATATTCTCTACCCTATAATGAGCTGTAATCTTGTACACATGATTAGTAATTCTGCCACCTATTAAACAATATAGGAAGCATATGCATACATCCAATATACTCCAAAAATATGAAGGAATGGTTACCGCTGAAAATAGAAATTATGTACTAGCATAATGCCAAATAGGTTTTACATTGCATATCAGGGAGACCTGTTCAGGAAAAACCACTTCTGAATGTGATTGTGCGGGCATAGTTAGGAATAGCTAGGAAAAAGTCAGAATTGATTCAAAATGAGAGAAGGTGGGCAGGGTTGTAGAATAAGTCTAGAAAGAGGATCTGCTGCGACTATTGGAGCTGGGGCAAGACATACTGTAGGCCTTCAAATATGTGAAAATGCTCTCTTTCTAGAAATCCTGGATTGGTCCTTAAGTAGCTGCCATTGCAAAGAGATTCTTTTCCTATAAAAGCTTTTGCTAGGGTTAGTCCTCTTTCATTAAAAACATTTTCATTTAAATATGCTCATTCTAATATATTCATTTAAATACATGTAAAGAAGGTAAGTTTACCTTGGCCAAATATGTGTGCAGCCATTAGGAAGATTATCATTGAAACATTTCTCATACCAAACTGTTGCTTATTTGCATAGAATTTATCTATATATACATTGCTGAATTACTTCTAGGGGTTAGTACCTCAAATATTTCTAACTAAATGGACAATATATCTTGAACAGCTTAATATTGAAATCATTTTTAGACAATAACAAAAGAGTATTATTTCTTTTTGAAAGTCCTTAAGGTATGTTAGGACTGTAGCCTAAGAAATAGCCACAGATAAAGCCAGATATATGGAGAGTCTGGAAGCTAGAGGTTGGTTGTATAATCCTCTTTGCAATGGGACAACATAGAAAAGCTAGAGATATTGTTAAAAGAAATGGGTTTAAAAAAAAAATCCCTACGCAAATACTTAGGCAATTTGCTATGAAGGAGATTCATTGGCCCCAGCAGGATCCAGTTGTAAAATGTTGCCTATTGGATCCTGCAGCTGTGAACAGGTGAGCCAGAATAAAGAAATAAGTCTGGGTGGCAGAACTAGAAATAAGGAGGTAGAACTAGAACTAGAAAAGGAGGTAACTGAGTACCCTTAGATAGGACCAAGGAAAATTAAAGGGAAAAGGACAGATTAAATAGCAAGGCCAGAAGATGAGTGTTAGTAGCCACAGTCTGTATCTGTACTGAGCAAACTAAGAATTCTGCATGAATACTTGTCACTGAAGCCCTTTATTCTTCCTCATTCATCACTAAGTCTGTAAATACAGCCGCAGTAACCTGTCTTGGTGATGAATAGCTGTTCTATTGATTCTCACAGATTCCTTTTCTGGATAGACGACATCAACATATTTGGCCATGTCCAGATCTAATATTATGATATCAAATCAACCAATAAAATAACAAATATTTTAGTCAAATTGACCTTTTAACATTGACTACATCAGTGATTCTGTAGCTCTTTAAATCTGTAACACATATAAGAATTTCTTAGAGTTAGCCCTGGATGATCACCAGAGCAAGCAAGTGGCATGCAATTGTGAAAAGATCTTTTTTTTGAGAGAGAGAGAGAGAGAGCACACCGCATGAGCATGGGAGGAGGGGAGGGGGCAGAGGGAAAGGGAGAGAGAGAATCTTAGGCAGGTCCCATGCCCAGTGTGGAGCCGACCTCGGAGCTCGATCTCACAACCCTGAGATCATGACTTGAGCAGAAATCAGGAGATGGACATTTAACTGACTGAGCCACCCAGGTGCCCCTATGAAAAGATCTTTTTTTTTTTTTTTTTTTTTTTTTTTTATTCATGAGAGACAGAGCGAGAGAGAAAGGCAGAGGGAGAAGCAGGCTCCCAAGGAGCAGGGAGCCTGATGCGGGACTCGATCCCAGGACCCTGAGATCATGACCTGAGCCGAAGGCAGACGCTTAACCATCTGAGCCACCCAGGCGCCCTGAAAAGATCTTTTAAATATATACATAAATACATCCTAACCATCATCCCCTCTTTTCACACTAAGCAACTGTATTGCTTTTTATTATTTTTATTATTTTTTAGCCTTTTCTCTATTTTCCCAGTCAAAATTGACAGATAGGGGTGTAAAATTTTAGGGGCATTATGATTGTGTTTTGTCAAGGACATTTTTGTAGGGAACCAGCCTTGTGTTCTTGGGAAACTTTGAGCCCAAAACTGCTAGAGCCCAGAGTTGGAGATAATC